TTTTTTTTAAAAAAAAAGCTAACAGCTTCAAAAAAAAAAAACCTAATAGCTTCAAATAAAAAAAAAAAAAAAAGCTAACAGTTTCAAAAAAAAAAAAAAGCTAATTGCTTCAAAAAAAAAAAGAAGCTAAACAGCTTTAAAAAAAAAGAAGCTAATAGCTTTAAAAAAAAAAGTATAGAAATGTCTAAAATTTAAAGCCTTTAGCTACTACAAATACTGTATTGTTAGAGAAATTACTTGATTTTTTAAATACTTGTCTTTAAAAAAAGTATATGTTGAATAGATGTCTCTGATAAGAAAAAAAAAAAAGCTTGATTAGAAAAAAAAAAGCCTTCAGATATATATTTGTATATTGTATGTACATATATATACTTATTTCTTATGTGTGACTTTTTGTTATCTTGCATTTTTGGCATGCATGCATAAGTTGAATCATACTAGTAGCAACAAATATGTATGATGGTTAGAGGTTCAGTTGAAGCTATTTTGATCAGATAGTTATATAACTACATCTGGCTTTAGCCAGCTTCTTATTTAAGCAGTCTGTCTTAAGGTTCTATACTAGATGCTATACCAATAATCTACTAAGAGATTATTTATTTTAAACTTTATGATTATTTGCTTTGTTATTTATAAATATTACTATATCCTTCATATATATTTAGTATACCATCTGAGCAGTATAGTACCTATTCTTTTGTACTATTTTTTAGCTGTTACATATTTTAGAATACAACATCTGCCAGTAAAACATAGAGAGCCCTCTTTGTTAGTTATCTACATACTTTCAGAAATATTAATAAAAGTTATTCTTATAAAGTTCATTTAGATCTTAGCACTAACTTTATAGCATATTCCTAGTACTTTTAGTATATTTCTGCTTTGTCTTTAGACTTTCAATTCAGATAGTTTAGAAGGACTATAACCTGTCTTTTGTATATTAAATTCAGCCCAATATTTTTTTTTAGTCTTAAATTTAGTGGTCTGGTTGGTAGTACCCTTTACTTAAAGTTTTTGCCTATTCAAATCATTTACATTAGTATCTGTTTTCTAAGTTTGGTTTTTACAATAATACTGTTAAAGATCTGTACTATCTTTCTATTTAGAATTTCTAATTGAATTTTGGTTTTTTTCAGTTTTATAAATTATTATTATTTTTTTTTTATTTATTCCTGGTGTTAATATCTAGAGGCATATATGGTACTCTTTTATTAAAATCAAATTATTAAGAACATTGTATATATTTATATATATTTTTTATTTTTTGAGAACAGTTTTTTAGATTGTAGTACAGAGTATGTATGTCTTTGTGAAGACATTTAATTACTATTAAGGATAGGATTCTGCTTAAAAAATTGCTGTCTTCCTATTTAAAAGAGGTGTAAGTGCATCATATTTCATAAATTATATTTGTTTGCAACCAGCAAGTGGCCTGTTTGCTTTTGTTATTTATAATGTTTGTTGCTGTAAAAATTTCTTCTATAGAGGTCGGAGGAGTCTCAGTTTGGTTAGTTTTTAGAAGGTTATAGGCCTGTTTCTATATTTCTTTGCTAACTTTGTATTTAAGTGCAAAGTGCTTAGCAGTTTGTAGCTCATTGTCACATCAGGAGCAGTTTCCTATAATAAAAGGGCTTATATGCTGTAGCTAGTATTCTAGTGATAAAGCTTTATGAAAAAGGCACTATAAAATGTCCTTTTTCTTGTTAGTTGTTTTCTTAACCAGCATCCAGTTAGAGTGTTGGCTAGGATTAGGTGGCTCTGATGTTAGCCTTTTTTTTAGAATTTCAATGATTTTCTTGACTAAAAGTTCTTCTCCATTAAGTTTTTCTATTTTAATATCTTTGAGCTTCTAAGGCCAACTTGTTGTTGCAGTAACTTTGGCTTTGGCCTTTTTCTAAGCTAATAGGTATAGTTTTCATTCTTTTGGCCAGGCTTTTGATCTGATAATATCTGTTTTTAATGCCTGGTTTATTGATATATTTCTTTTTTCAAGTATGATTTCTGCAATTTTTTCTCTTTCATATTTGGCCCATGTAAAGTCACTAGTGAGTAGTTTTTTCCATACTGAGATTAGTCTAGCATCTAGCATATCTCCTACTATTGGGGCTTGAAGGCCATTTTGTTCAAGTAATTGTTAGAATATAGAGTATTTAGGCAGCATTTTGGAATTGTTTTTAATCCAGAATGTCATAAGTCTGTTGATTTCTGCAATCTGTTTTTTACTTGGTGGAGTCAGGTATGCTGCATATCATATCTGTAAAAGTATAAGTACTTTAGTTAAAAGAATTTTTTCTCTAAAAGAAAGATTTCGATTAGATGATTTTTCTAGTGTCTTTTTTATCCTAATAATTGTTGTTGTCCATAAGTCTTTTTTAGAAATATCTTTTGTGTTTACTTCATATCCAAGAATTGTTAGTGTTTTCTGTTTTGTAGTTTTAGTAAATTGGAATTCATCTTTAGTTCAATTCTGCAAGCTGTATTTGTAAGAGGCACTAATTTGGTTTTGTTTTTGTTGATTTTTGCATTAAAAGCAGCTTTGTAGGTTTTAAAAAGTTGCATAATATTTATCCAGTCTGATGATGAACTTATTCCTATTATTAAGTTATCTGCATAAGCTAACAGTTTAAAGAACTGGTTTTTTAAGGGAATTTCTCGAATGTTTCTTTCTAGTTGTATAAGTAGTGGTTTAAATATGAGTACATATAGTAGGGGGGAGAGTGGATCCCCTTGTCGTACTCCTCTTTCTACTTTAAAAGGTTCAGATAAGACATTGGTTTCCATAATGTGTGCCATTTGGTTTGAAAAGAGATTGGCTACCAAGTTGGTTATTTTTTTGTCAAAGTTCATTTTTTTTAGAACCAGGTTTAGAAAGTTATGGTTTACTCTATCGAAAGCTTTTTGCTGATCTACTAAAAGCATCCAGTACTGTTTGGAGCTGTCTGATTAGTTTTTTAATATAGTAATTATATTCAAGGCTGTGTCTGTTATTGATCTTCCAAAAACAAAGCCTTGTTGATGATTGGGGATAATTTTCTTGCAGATTATGTTAAGCCTGTTTGCTATGATTTTCATAAAAATTTTAGAATCGCAATTTACTAGTGAGATTGAATGCCAGTTGTTTAAGTCTTTTAAGTTTTTTGACTTTTTGAAAATTAGTATGATTATGTTTCTGCACTATGAATCAGGTATACAACCAGTATCTAGTACTTGATTGAACAACTTTTTAAGGGCTGGTGCTATTTTTAATAATGTAAGTTTGTAGAATTCATAAGTTAGCCTATTAGTGTTAGGTAACTTGTTATTAGAAAGGCTTTGTATTGTTTGGATTATTTCTTTCTGTGAAATTCTTTTGACTAAGTTGTTATTTTGGTCTTGTGGTACTTGAGGAAGACTTTTAGTAATCTTTTCTGCTGCCTTAAGATTTATGTCTTCTTCTTTGTAGATTTTCGTATATTGGTTTTTAATATATATAAGTGTATCTTTATTTTTTGAGCTTAAAGTTTCAGGTATTTCGATTCTAGACTAGGCACTTTGTAACTTTCTTGCTTTATATCTTGAGAAAAAGTATTTTGTTGACTTTTTTTCATTTTCGATCCATTTTGTCTTTAACCAAATTAACTATAATTTAACCATCTTAGTTAGTTTCTCTTGTATTTGAAGATTAAGTTCTTCTATGTTTTTATTAAAGTGTTCTTCCAAGAAGTCTGCTGCAAGCTTCTTACTTAGCTTTGTAATATCTTTGTTTAGCCTTACTATTTTGTTTTCAGAGGTTTTGGGTTTTCGAAAAGCTCTGATGATTAATTGTATATATATTTTACATAAATCCTAGTTTTTTGCTAAGCCAGCATCCTAAATTTCCTCTAGTACCTCTTTTTTTTAATAATTCATTTTTAAAAGATTCTTTATTAAACTTCCAGACTAAAGGCTGTTTAGAATTTTGTTTGAATTCCAATATGCATCTTACTAGGAGATGATCTGAATTACCAAAGTGCATACTAACTTCTGATATAAGGTAATTATGATTCTTATCTATAAAAATGTAGTCCAAACATATAGCCATTGAGTAATTATTTTGTGTTTTCTAAAAAAAAGTTAGAAAGGGCTTGATGCTTGATGTTTCTGCTTTGTTAATAAATTCTTTTGTTAGGTTGAAGAGCTGGGTCCTAGTTGAGTCATGTTGGATTGTTGCTTGACTTATCCTGTTGTCTTTGGGATTAAGATTAACATTGAAGTCTCCTCTATAATGTTTATATTGTTTTCTTTGATTTGAGGTTTTCAGTCATTAAAAAAGGTTATTCTGTTACTAATGTTTGGTGGTGCATAGATGTTTGTTGTTTTAAAAAAGTATCCTTTAAATACAAAGTCTGTTGTTATTATTTTTTCTTCATGGCTTATCTAAATGTTTTTAAATTCAATGTCTTTGCTTCTTGCTAGAATTGCTGTTTTTTTAGTCCAGATTAAATCATAAATCCATTGTTGTTTAAGAAATTTATATATTTTTTTATTATTAAGATTAGTTTCCTAAAGCATTATTATATCTAGTTTGTATAATTTTAAGAGAGTTAGTGAGTTTTGTTGTTTTTCTTTGTCATTAAGTGCTTTTATATTTAGTGTTGCTATTTTTAATTTGGTTTTTTAAGTCATAAATTATATGAGATTGTTGGATCCTTTGAATTGGGAGTAGCTTGCTTCTCTATGAGTTTTTTTATATAAAGATGTTCTTGTTTCATCTTTTTTAGATATTCTGTTTTCTTTCTTGGTTTTTCTATTTATAACTATGATAAAGCCATCTGTTTCTTCATTTTTGTCAGGAGGAAAAGCTGCTTTGGAGATGCAACTTGCAGATAGATGTGATGTTCCATAGCCATAAATAACAAGTTCATCTCTTGGTAGCATTTTTGTATCTGTAAGAGATCTTCTTAGGTTGTTGCTTGCATTTGTTTATTTGAGCTGTTATTTGTTATAGCTAATTTTGCTAAAACTGAAAGCTGAAGGTTTTGCTAATAGCTAAGATCAGTTTCCTTTAAGACCATATGTGCATCATCTTTTGTATCATTTTGTTCTTGCTGCTTAGAATTTGTTAGTGATAGAGGTTCTTCATTGCTCTGTTTAGTACTTTCTAAAGTCTAATTTAATTCCTGAAAGTCATTTGAGAGTCTTCTATTATGTTTGTCCTCTTTGTATTGTTGGTAACTAATTCATAGATCTACTGAGTCCTGAAATTGTTGCTATTTTTTTTTAACATAGCCTTCTTTTTCACAGAAGTAGCACATCTTAGGTGCTGATTTTTATTTTGTTGTGACCTTATTGTCCCACACATGTGTGAAACAAGGTATTTTGCTTTCTAGATTAGGATCATTTGAGTTCTCAAAAATTATAATTCATTGGTCTGTAAGGTAAGGTGTTCCTTTGATCAGTAGGGCTTAATTGATGCAATTCTGCTCACAAACTCGAAGGCTTCTTTTATAGCATCTGATATTGCTTCTTTGTTACCTAGTGGAACATTTTTGATCTTAACTAGAAGAAATAATTTTCTTGAATCTGTAAGGATAAAGCCAAAGTAGGTTCTGCCGAAAATATTAATATCCTTGATAACATAGTGTTTTAATTTGTCTTTGTTTTTAAACACAATTTCCAAATGTATACATGTCCTTTTCATAAAGTGTTGTTTTGCTGCTATTACATCCTCTTTAAGGTTTTTGAATAATAAGGCCATAGTTTCATTGAAAGAGCTATGCATGCCTTGGATATCTATCATTAGAGCATTTTTATTTTTTGGTCTAATTTGGCTTCTTGACATGAAGAAGGAGTAGGTAGACTGTCCCCTTTTTAATTTTAGAAAAAGACTAGACCACTGTTTAGTTAGTGTCTCTTTTGGACCTTTTTGTCTGTTGCTGTCTTTTTGTAAGTCATTATAAGAGTTAGTTTTATATGTTTCACTTAACAAACTGCTACTTTGTAAGTTTTTCATTATGTCTAGCTCCTGTTCTGTTGTATTTTCAGTTTCCTCTAAGTTGTCTAATATTACTTGTTCCTCAGTCATGTTGTTTGTTGTTATGTTTATAGTATCTTTAGACATGTTATTCTTGTTTACTTTTTTGTCTTGAGTAGTTTTTATTTTTTCTATTTCTAGTTCAACTTGTTTGTCTCAGCTTGTTGAGTTTTCACTAGAAATTTCTTTTAGTACTTGCTTTTCTTTTTGTTCATGTTTAGTAGTTTCTTTTATGTCAGTCATCAAGCTTAAAGAGCTTGATGCATTATCTTTGTTTTCTTTACTTTTTTTCTGCCACTTGTTAATGCTATTTTTTTTGTTGTTTTTATGCTTTTCGTGTATTGAAATTCTGTAAAGGACTTTTTTCTTGAAACAAAAGCAAGGGCCCTTGTTTTAGTAAATACTTTAGCCAGTTTTGTCTTGTTGTTTGCTCTTATTTTAACAAAAAGGTTACTCTACTTCAAAACTCGTATGTTTAGAAGAGAGTGTATGTAAATTTAGTTTTATAAATTTACATAGCTATAAGAACTTATTTTAGGTTTGTATAACTAAAATTACACAGATGCCTTATAACCTGCCAGTTATATTAGTGCAATCATAATTACAAGTATTTTATTTAAACTAATTAACAGAATACTATTACTATAATACTGTTTATATATTGCATAGATGATTATCAAAATTTTTACTATCAATAGGTTTTGAACTTATAATCTATTATTTAGAGGGTTGACAACTTATCCACTTCACTAAGTTATTACACCTCTTTTGTTTTATATATTAAATAATTAGTATGCAAAAAAAAGTTAATATTTACTATTTAACAATAATCAAAAATATTTAGTATCTTAAAAAATTTTATTTAAAAACAAATATTTTACTATTAATTATTATAAGATTTATATATAAATGCTAAATGTCAAAAAAAGTCAACTAATATATATTAAAAAAATAATAAACTTAAATTTTACTTAATAAAGAATTTTTATTACTATTTAATTAAATAAATATTAATATTTTTATATTTTGTATATTATATTGATAAATCTAAATATTTAGGAGGTTTTTTTTTTGATATTAAGATAACTTCTTTGGTCTTTTGATTTTATTAATACTTTTTTGAATAATATAGTTCCTTAAAAACTATTATAAAAAGAATATATAATTGGCTATACATATAACTTTTTTATATTACTTATTTAAGAAATCTGCTTAAGAGTTTTTTACCAGTTGCTATATCTAACACTTCTGCTTAGATGTTTTATTTAAAATTTCTAAATCTATAATTTATGCTAATTTTATCAGATCATGCTCAGATTCTTGTCTCAATCTTAGGACTAATTTATTCTCAAAATAAATCTTTTAAAACCTTTTGTATTACTATTTATAGCTAACTTAAACTTATTATAGCTAAATCAATACTTGCAATTAGAGCTAACTATTAAACTATTATACTTTTGTAAAATTTATACAACCTTAGTATCTTTTTTTACAACCTTACTGGTGCCTTATCTATTTTTACAAATCCTATTATATTACTAATTCAATAAGTTTTGTATAATGTAACTTCATGTTTAGATCAACTAGTAGCCAGATTAGTAAACTTCTTTTATCTAAAGATTTTTGTTTATACAGGTTACCTGCTTTATATTTTTTTTTTCAGATTAAGTTTTTCACAAGCAGTACTGTTAAAAATTGTACTATCTCTTTACTTGGAATTTCTAAACAGAACTTCTTATAGAGTATATACTTTTCAGATTTATTTATATAATATTGTATACTTCTAAAGTTAGTCTTAATATAACTAAAATTATAGAGTTACAATCCTAGATACTTTGTTCAAGTTGCTAGAATAGGACTATTTTTCAAAATTTTGCTACCAGTAGAATTTGAACTTTAGATCTACTGTTTGAAAAATGACAGCCTAACTACTATACTAGAATTACTATTTTTTAATCTAAGTATTTGGTATATTTAGTATTTTATTTGTTTTATTATTATTATTATTATTATTTTTTTGTGTTAAAGGCCATACTTGTGGCGATACTTTATTGACTTTATATCAGATTAGCTATTACAACTATTTTTACAGAGATGAGAGTACAGCTAGTCATATGTGCAACTTTTGGTTGCCTATTTAAGTA